AAAGAAAAATAATAGAAATTAAGATACTGACCTCCTTCAGCTGAACAGATGACCACAATTTGACTAAAAGGCCCATCCCCTTTATTGTTATAAACGCCAACCTTCACTTCAAAAGGAGTGAGAGGAGGGACACTTTCATCTCGATAAATGAATTTGGAAGCTTCAGAGGATGTCACCATTTTTTCCTTCCAGCCACGTGTTCCATTGGGTCTAAAAGCCACAATATAGCCGAAGCCTTCCCCATTCTGAAACTCTTCAGATACTGGCTAAAGAAGAAACATGCAATTAATTCTCAGTAAAATGACTGATAAAAAACCCACTTCTTCCAAATCCTTAATTTTTTTTTATCATGCATAATTAGAGAAAAGAAGAATCTCAAATCTTTAAACTACATTGGAAGTCAACATAGCACAATCACTTTGGCAGTTTTGGGAAACTTAAAAGACTTAAAAGTAGAGGATGAAAAATTAACTTTTATGACTTGGAATGTAAGAAAACTCTCAAGAGAATTGAAAACTCTTGAAGTGAAACAAATTTGCTCCAATTAGTCACGTATATGAAATGAAGGTCCTTGAATTCCATGCTAGAATTTAACACATTGGAGAAAACTGTCATATGGTCTGGTGGTCGGGAACATCTTGTCACTGGTAATGCTCTGCAGAGCCCTTTGCACCACAAATCCAGGAGATATTAACGTTAAGACCTTTCTTCTAGTGTTCTTTCCAATTGCTTTTGTGCTTTACTAACGTGAAAAAAATTGGGCTTTGGTATTTGTTCAAGAAGCTTCTTGTGCTATATGGCTGACATTTATTTTTGTTAAAGGGGCTTCAACTGCCCACCACGGAAAAGAGTAATTGTGATCAACTCAGTGGAGAAAAGTTACCAGCCGCTGACTAGTACAGTGCTTAACACATAGTAGATTCCCAAAAAATATTCGTTAAGTATTTTTTTCTGTTGAATTTTTATTTGAAGAAAAACTGTGTATTAAGTGTAGAAAAAGAAAGAAAGCCTATTCTACCAAATCTTATAAGGAAGGGAAATTCTATTTAAAGAGATTTGATCTCTGTGAAGGTTAGATATTGGGACGTTAATACCTCTTCGGACATCAAAAAGAAGAT